GAACTAGTATCTTAGTAATTTCGTATTTTTTTTCAGCATCTGTAAAAATGATAGGTTGTACAGATCCTTAACACAACTAATAACTCCCCAAGCCCAGCAATTAGCCACAGGATGAGTATGAAGATACTAGGTAGGCTTCATTGCATATAGTACTTAAAAATCAGTAGTAAAAGAATGGTATTTGCCTTTGATTGCCAACGGTTAGCTCTGATTTTAATTTTGTGTTAATTTAGGACTACTTTCCCTTCCACCTGCTTGAACTCATGGGATTTTTAGCAGACTTTTTCTGCCTGCCTTTCTGGAACTCACTTTTCATTTCTGAGGAATTTAAAATCAGTGGGCCAGAGAAGAAGGGCAGAGGTTGCAGCATGGGAGATGCAATGGAGGGAAACAGACTGAAACTCACCCAAAATGTAAAAAAAAAACCAAACCCAAAACACTAAAGCAAATTGAATCTCACCCTCTAAAACAAAATGCTGCTGATCTTGACAATGTTCCAGCAGTGTGACGCCGTTATGACAAAGGCAAATATAGTCCTGCCTGCCAGACAGTACCTGCTTTAATGAAAAGTCTCACAGCTGACCCTGGACCGCCTGCCTCCGCATGGGCGATTAATGCCTTGTGTTGGATGTGATTGCTACACAAATAAGATGGGACCTTGTCATAGAATCACAGAATGGTTTGGGTTGGAAGGGACCTCAAAGATCATCTAGTTCCAACCCCCCTGCCATGGGCAGGGACACCCTCCACTACACCAGGTTGCCCAAAGCCTCATCCAACCTGGCCTTGAACACTTCCAGGGATGGGGCATCTACAACTTCTCTGTGCAACCTGTGCCAGTGCCTCACCACCCTCAGAGTGAAAATTTTTTTTCTTATATTGAATCTAAATCTCCCCTCTTTCAGTTTAAAGCCATTACCCCTTGTCCTGTCACTACACACCCTTGTAAAAAGCCCCTCTCCAGCTTTCCTGTAGGCCCCCTCTAAGTACTGGAAGGCTGTCCCCAGCCTGTAAGGCAGCCTGGGCATGCTGATGCTGCTCACCTCCACAGACCCCAACTCGAGAGCTGCTGTTGGTGTTCCCAGCTGCTTCTCTGGATTGCTCTGATGGGAGGCTCTGCAGTTTTGTGCTGCAACTCACGGCTGCGGGAAAAGCTACGCTGAAGAAAACCACTCATTCCAAGCTCTACACTGACCTGCCCAGACCATATTATCTGCACCTCTGTCTCCTGTACCACCATTGTCTGTATTTAGTGTATTAGATTTTAATAGTGGAGGCCATCTCTTACAGTGTTTGCCAAATGCCTGACACAGTGGGCTTACAGCTAGGAACGGACCCATACAACTGCTATTAGGACGAAAACTCTAATAAGCCCTTGGCCATGGTGTGTTGCATAACAATGCAGGCTCTTAGACGCTCCTTGATTAAATGTTTTCATACACACACACACAACTGCTCTTGGGATCATGCAGAGTCGAAATGGAGCACAGAAATCATGGTGTCACGTGGAACAAAGAAGAATTTGACATTTCCCTGGTGGAGAACACTTAAGTCTGTCACTTTTAAAGACAGTCCTGCTGTGAAAGACTGAAATTTCAAGAAGTTTCTCCCTCTAATAGGGGAAAAGAAATGGTACTGGGGGTCCCAAACAAAGGAAACCTAATTGTGGAATATTTCTGCAGGAAAACGTTTCTGTTTCAAAGCTCTTCTGAAGACCAATTAGAAGAGCAGCCCACTGGGGGTCGGACTGCCTGCCAAATACTACCTTTGAGAAAGGTAGTCTAAATTCAGTGTTGCTTTATCCATTACAATTCTATAGCAGTGCAAATAGCCATCTTAAAGTCAAATGGCCCATTAATCATGAATCTTTATCCCTTAAGCAATACTATGCACGTGAGTTATGGTTTGCTAGTTGCTGGCCCTTGTAAACATGTAGGACCACACACCACTTCCATTTTATCCTGAAATTCATTCCAGTGGCGACAGATGATCAAATCCAGACCTCACATCACTCTGACCATGTTTTACTTCCTCCAGCTGTTTGTAGCTCAAGAGTGTGCCCTGACAAAAGTAAAATTGAGGGTGGCTCATGGCAGTGCTACAAATCTGCCTTCTCTTCCTGCCCCCATATCTTCTCTAGGATCTCTGTGCCTAGTAGGGGTGACAGTGGGGAAATGAAATTATTTCTGTTTTACAGGGTAACTTAACTTGTCTAGTCTGTCCATCACAGGCTGATGTCTGCCCAGGGAGGAGTCCCACTCGGTCACTGAACCAAGGCGCAAAGCACCACACACCAGGCAGGCAGGTCCTGCTCTTCCACCCACCACCAAATACCAAGCAATGATCCCTCCCTTCCAGATGACTCTGCTAGCAACCAGGATTCAAAGCTGTGTTTGTTTCTGTCGTGCTTGGTTGCCTTTTAACTGATGCATCACTTAATTGCAAAAACACACTGGCAGAAAACAAGCTGCCTTCAGCATTCGGGCCTTGATTTTCAGTGTTATTTAGATTCCAAATAGGCATCTGATGGCACAGCCAAAAGTATAAAGAGGAGATGACTGTAATTTTGACCACCTTCCATGAAGTCTTCCTGACTGGGTTAATGTTCTGCACAGAAACCTCTCTCTCGTTTCCTAGACGGATTTTACTCCTTTGCTAAAGAGACAGCAGAAAAGATAACACATCACTGAAGTCCTCAAAATGAAGCCAGAATAACATTTGAAGGATCATAGAATCATAGAATGGTTAGGGCTGGAAGGGACCTTCAAAGTTCATCTAGTCCAACCCCCCTGCAAGGAACAGGGATATCTCCAACTAGATCAGGTTGCTCAGGGCCTCGTCCAACCTGGCCTTGAACGTCTCCAGGGATGGAGCATCCACCACCAATGAATGGTGGTGAATTCATTGGTGGATGAATGGGTGTTGTGGATAGGAGTATTCTTTTTCTCATGTCTTTATTGGTAGAATTTCCTACTCTGATGCAGCTATTTTCTTTTTCATTTCTAGCTTTTTCTAACAGAATACACCGGGCCTCTTCTAATATATCTGCTCTTTTACATTCGCCTCTCAACTATTTATGATCAAGTGGAAAGTATGAAGAACTTCCGCCACCCTGTAGTTCAGTGAGTGATGCTTGCATCAACTATTTTCCTGGAGGACAGGGAGCCAGAGGGATGGAGATTGCATCTCCAGGGCTGGGGAGGTTACAGGGGGTGTGAAGCTCCATGCATGGTCTCAGAGTCAGTGGGAGGTTCAGATTGTTCTTATTGATTGTGGTTTGACATTTTAGCAGCACTCATAAGCCTGACCGAAAATGGGATCCCAGTTGCAATGGTCACTGGGTCTGGTCACAACGGGAGATGTAGTATTTTCCCCAAATAGTCTGTACTCTGGACACACAGCCTGAACAGAAGGTGAAATAATAAACACAGTGGGCATTAACCCAAAGTCACGCTTGACAGAGAAGAGGGCAAGACCTCAGGTGTCGCACTCCCAGTCTCTGCACAGTGCATTGCCCCTCACAAGATGAGTAGCATCAGCATCCAGCACAGAGGATAACTGCCCCCATGCCAGCTCTCACCTAGGCACAACAAGGAGGAATTTCGAGAGGTCTGCGTGTCATGAGTCAGGTCAAGAACAAGGGAGAATCTCAAAAGAAGCACCATAGGAATTCAGAACTGGTAGTCTGATTTTTGAAACTAACCTCTTGAAACTGTAATTGTTCCTTCCCCAGGGCCATACACAACATATTCGAATTCTAAAAGACTTTTAAGAAATAAAACACTTAAATGACAAATAAAAATTAGGGTTCAGCTACTGTTACAGAACAGTGAAGAGCACAGGTTGTATCCAGCTGTACAGAAACAAGGCAGAGGAGTGTTGATTGTCCTCATTCTAGGGAACTAGTGCCTGGCAGAGAGGGGGAACACGATCAAGGGAAGCCAGTCGGCTGCATAAGTTGGAGCAGTGGAAGTGGGAGGGCACACAGGGATCTAGGAGCCTCAAGGAACTGCACAGCTTTCCCACAGCATTTTTTTCCCCACTTTGATTGCAGAATCAAGGGAGCTGGTGTATAGCAGAGAAACACAGTGAGTAATAATACCATTTACAGAACAGAGACTTGGAGAGACGTTAAGGGAGTTAGTGGAGCTGGGAATGAGAACACAGAATAGTTGAACTCAAATCCAGAGCTGCAAAACACTTGCCTTCCTTCTCCTGCTTGTACACTTAAAAGGAGAGAGTTTCTGGTAGCACAGAAGAGCCAGCAATACTTTTAAATTCTTTTAAGTGGGCAAGGAGTGTGCAGAATCCTTCCAGTGACCGCTCCTTAACAGGTTCAGCTGAGATCCCCATCCTAAGACAAATTAATTTTAAAATTCCCAGCAAAGCTGGAAGTTTGCTCCAGACGTTGGATAAGTCGTTAATTGTTTGAAATTTTCTTAGCTCAAATCTCCCTGGTTTAATTACTTTGAAATTGTTTAATCTTTTGACTCTGGCTACCAAGCAAGACGCATAATAAAAGTATTTGAGATTTCACATGCCGAAACCCACTTTTCATTTATGTCTTATAATGAGTTTGCAGTGAGATGGGCTCTGGTAATACGGTAAATGTAACCAAGATAAAATGCCACCAGGAATCACTCTTGACATTTCTTTCTGAAACTCAATCTCTACGAGCTGCAATTCATTCTCGGAAGCAAATCAGCAACGCCTGTTATTGTTTCATAATATTCCTCAAAAGAGAATCAGTATAATAATTTCTACAACAATTACCTCGTTTCTTTGTAACAGGCAACAAAAAAGCCATCAGCATGGATTAATTTTGCAACAAAATCTCATTTTGCATCCACAAGGGAAATGAAACATCAACTACCTCCATGCAGCTACTTGAGTTGGCAAAGGACAAGGAAACCATTCAGAAGATATTCAGAATGTTTTAAAATGTCAGACCCATCCTACAGGAGCATTAAGGTGGCCTTAAAACGTTGGAGACATCTTTGGGAAAAGCACAGCAGACACTTGCTGCATACACAGCTGTCCTGTTTTAATGTCTTGGCAGGGCCATGTATCACATTCGGAGCTCGAGGAGCTCTTTTTAATTCAAGGCTAGTAAAAATAAGTTGCTTCCCTGTAAAATGAAAGCAACTTTGTCTAACGCTGAAAACGATTCCATTAATCTTTGGTTCCAGATGCTTCAATTAAGACAATATCTTAAATCCCACGATTTCAGTGTGACTCTGCAGTTTTAGAATATTAGTCGTTATTCCTTTTGTGACATTAAACTGCAAAGTAACAAAAAGCAATCATTCACATACCTTAATTTCTTTTTTTTTTTCTTCCAGCTTGGCCTGCTTCTGCCATTGTTTACACTACATCAGACATCTTCTGGAGACGTTGTTTGTTCACAAGTTTTCGGGAGGGCATACTCCTCTGAAAAATATGATAAAGGTGATAATATGTTTATCATTTTGTGTAAGAGAGAATATCCTCATATCAAAGTAGTCCTTGGAAGAAGACAGGAAAATAAAAAATTATTTATCTTCTAGCTCCAGGAACTACGATTAGTCAAAATACAAATATCGGAAGAATTTCAGGGCCATGTCCCCCAAGGACATGAACTGAAATCAATGTTCATCTTACTTCCTCCATGTCAATGTCCACTTTGACTCATCCACCCAAGGGGCTGATTGTCATGTCCAGGTTATTTTTCAGCCTGAATGCAATTTTATTATGAGATATGTTGCTGCAACTTCTAGCAATGCTGGTGGAAACCACACTCCACTTTTTCAGTGCAATATAAATATAAAGCAAGAGACAGGCCTTGCATTAGGAAGCCAACATCAAATGACAAGCAGAAAAAACCATATATTCTCCTTCTATAGGTGGAGGCCTCAGGAAGGAAGATACTGAACTGGCCTAAAGTCTTCTGTCTCCCAAAGCCTACTGAATTTCAACTGTGTGTCATTACTCATAGGCTCTTCTTTCTTTAATTTCACATACTCAATCTCAGTCATTTCGTATCACCTCACCCCCCATCTCACTCAGTGTGATTTGAAGACCCTCCCTTTACAAGTTTTGCAATATATTTAAGATTTTAGTGAAGGAGATAACACATGACCACGATAGGGGGCTTGACTCGATTTCAGTCAGAAAGGAGGTAATGAGATGCACAGCTAGAGATGTTGTTTTACCATTCACAGCGGTTTGAGTTTTGTTAATTTATTTTTTTTTTTAAAAAAGGAATATTAGCTAAACGGCTTTGGAATCAGAGTGCCATTTCCAAAGTGATTCATACATGTGGGAGTCCAAGACCCACAGTAACTGCTGTTCCCTTGTGTCTGTGGTACATGTACCACAGCAGCATCACATAAAAAGATTAAAAAGACAAAGCTTGACTTGCAGCCCTGCTTATGGGATGGAGCTGTAGCCAGTCCCAGTTTTTCCTGAGATGCTACTGAGCATGCGACCCTTAACTTAGACACGTAGAAAAGCTTTATCCAGTTTCCAGAGTGGTTTCAGTTGTTTGGCTCATGGGTTTTGTTTTCTCCTTGTCCAAAGGATGGGAGCAATGACCTCTACACAGGGCAAGGACATGGTCACACTGTCTCCACCTGGGCTTTCCCAAGCCCATGGCTTCAGCCACCAAGCAAAGGCAGCTGGGGTGTTGCTTTACAACAAGAGGATGGAGTGGGGCTCAATCCATGGGGGTAGTGCAGTGTGTAGCTCAAACACCTTTATAGGAACTGTGTGCCTTTATTGCCAGAGTTAATCCAGGCCTATTTAGTTTTACTCTTTATTGTCTTGGCTGGTTTAGTGTTCTGTTTGGCTAGCTCTACCTTGCTTGGAAATGCTGAGTTTAAGGTATAGTAACAGCTCAGCTGTGTTAACCAGCCCTAGACTTTTAATAGCACAACTCAGACAAACGTGCCGTTCAGCAGTAGGATCAAATAAGGAGAAAACAAATAAGTCCTACAACAGGTATAAACCACCTTCAACACAATCAAAAAAGTCTGCACTGTGCGTCCTTTTATTTTTAATTTTTTTTTTTAGTGGCTTCATAGCACCTTAAAAAGATCTATATTCTGTGATTCAAGAAGCCACTGCAAAGTCTTTCAATGGTCATCTAGGTTTTGCACTTACCAGCATTTATATTTATAAAGTTATGGTTTGTACTTGCTTATCACCCTCTCTAACAAAAAAAAGTATCTTTTGTCCGTTCCAGGGCTGTGCCTTTTACTGGGGATTCACCTCCTGGATTGCATACTACATCAACCATCCACGATACACGCCACCATGTATGTATAAGTAGAACACAAAACTGACCTTGGCTTTAAAAACTTTTTGGTATGCAACCTTAAGTCCTCCAAAAATCAATAGATGGCCCCCACATGAGATCTAATGAGATCTAACTCATCTAGCCAGAGATCAGCCTTTACTCCCTGCCAGAAGGAAGATTGCTGCACGGGAGGCACTCCTGCTGTGTGGATGTATGTTCCTGTTCAGCAATGGTCAATCACTGTCCAGTTTTACAAACTGGAAATACTGGGCAATTGGAAAACCCATGAGAATTGATATATTTTGCTCATCTTCACAACATTTATTTTAAGAATGCAAGAGAGAACTAGAGCTGGCTGCATTTTCTTGGAGGAAATACTTATTTGCTAAATTTTCATGAAAAAAAAAGATTTATTTTTTGTGCGTGTGAGAAACCAGTAAAAGTCAATCAGATACTGCTGAAAATAACGAAAAAAAAATCTGATATTTTTGCTTCCAGATTTCATTCATCATTTTATTCCCTCTCATAATGTTTTATTGTTACACTGCTGTTTCTTCATGATTTTTTTTTCTTGTTTACTTTCTGAACTTTTGCTTCTTTTGAGCTATTTTACTTTCCTTGCTACATCTTAGCCTTTCTTCTCCTCTGCATCATACACTTAGCTATGAGATTTGGGAATAAAGGGTTTGCTTTGCCGTTTTTATTTACACTCAGTTAAATTACTGATTTTTTTCAATCAAAAATTTCTCCTACCTGGCACTTGCTTTCTTTCCAAAATAACCCAAAAGTTCTGTTTCAAAATGATGTGATTCAGTGAAAGACAGTGGAATTTGGTGTGGCTTTAAAAGCAATGCTGCAAACAATGTCGAAACCTCCCTAGACACAGTTTTTAGCAGTCTGGACCATCAAATCAGCAGGTGCAGCTTCTTTAGAGAGGAACCCATTTGTTGAAAACACAGCTTTCCAACAGAGAAAGCATTCAGAAGTACTTCTAATTGCTTGCCACTGCCTTAAAATGACAACTATAGGTACATGGGTCTAACGCTGGAGATCACCAGTCCTCTGGCATCGTTAGGTGGATCAGTAAAACAGTGATGGTTTATTCTGGATGCAGGAGCAGGTGACATCCACAGCCATATCCAGGGATGGCTGGTTCGGGGACAGGTAAGGAAAAGCAAGCAGGTAGTTGCAGAATGCTGTGCAGGAGTGGTAAATGACACCAGGCTGACAAAGAGCCCATGAAGAACACCTGCTTAGCAGCTGCATATTCATGTGTTGACATGTGCTGGTTGTTCTGAGGAGGAATTTTAGCACGTGTCCTTGGCACCACGGAAGAGTTGTGTGCCAGCCAGAGAAAAAGGGTTCTTAAAAGTAAAGACTCAATGAGACTTGGTCAGGGAAGTGAGGTACATACACGTGGTTTGTGTCCCTCAGACACAACTGAGGTTTACTTGAGAACTGTAAACCTTTGGAGATGAACATGATACAGTTGGTCTGGGGACAACAGCAAAAGGAGCAGGCAGGCAAAGGGCAGGTAAAAATTGCAAAGGTTAAATACATTTCTTGCATGGTGAGACTGTGAAGCAGATAGTGGCTGGACAATAAAGCCTGACTACTAGGAAAAAATGAAAAATTAGTGGATAGGTTATGTCTTGGGTGCTCTGCCCATGGAAATAGAAGGGCCTATGGATAAGGCTGTGATTCCCAGCCTGCTTCTACCACTGACCTTCATTTCATCCCTCCCCTTGCCTTTCCAAGGAATTCAACGCCACCAGTTGCTTTGACAAAGCCTTTGGATATATGAAGATGACCAATACTGGAAAGAGTTAGGTGAAAAACTGCCTTGAGATCAGTGGTGGAGAGACTGGCATTTCTAGAGTGCTGTTACCATTTGCATTGTCTTCATATTGTCTGAGATAATACGCATTTTTTCTGCAGAAGCTGACAAGAAAGAAGTATTTCTGTTCCTCAGCGCTAGATTAATTTCACACATATCAAACCATGTGCGTACCGTAAAATGCAATTTATAATTTCATTCTATTTTCTAGCATTTGGCCACAGACAAGTTTCTTTCGCTGCCCTTGCTTTTCTGGTACGTACACAAGTAAAGTTTTATTAATGATGGTGGAATAGGAGTAACTCATGATTTAGCAAAATGCAGTAATGCTGCTATGTGTTTTTGTATATATATATATATATATATGTCCACGACCACAGCCCTGTGTCCTTTGACTGGATTTAGTGAGAATCTATTAAGATTTCTAGGCCAAGATGTCTCCTAGTACTATTTACCTACACAGAGTTTAATGTGAAGTACTGTATCCAAGAGCCATGAGAACATCATTAGCATGATTACTACTCATAATTGTGCGAAACCACTAATATTTAGACAGATTGGAACTCACCATTTTTCGTACACTGAAGAATTACAGCCTGAGCAGACTTTGCAATAGCACCCTGAATAAAGTAACCTCAACAGCTACGAAAAACAACAAAAACAATCCCTGCCAAAAGGGAGTTAAGCCAAGGGAAAGCGCAGATGATGAAGGATGGCTCAGACTACTGAACCTGATGTTCAAATGAACATAACCATGTAGTGAGATGGAGGCTCAGTAGGAAATTCTCACATGGAAACCTGTGTTCTTTTCCATCCTCCATGAGCATTGCACTTGGAATTACTGAATGTTGACTTACCCAAGAAAGTATGGGTCAGTAGCCAAAACAGTCAGCCTCTTTGAAAATCAGATACAGATCCCTTGCCAGAAATATAACAGGAAGATGAGACAATACTGTGTCTAGGCTCCTTCACCCAAACACTGTTCAGAGAAGCATTCAAACAACTCCTTAATATTGGAATGCTTTCATAAATCAGGACTCTTAAAGATCACAGTTTTGGCATCATTTTTCTCTGGGGCTGGCCATGAAGTTCTCAGCTTTTCCTGCCCTAATAAGGCATAGCAGAACCAAGCAAAATATCATATGAAGAAGTTCACGTGCTCAATGAGGTTCTACAGCTGAAAGAAACCATCCTGTACTGCAGAGACAGGAGGTTGTGGCAGCAGTAGGCAGTGGTGCTCCCACAGCCTTACTGTCTGTGTCCTTCTCAGGCTCAGGGGTTACTTGAAACCAAACAAACCACTTGCCTGAATATTCAGTGCTACCAGTAGTAAAACTCGTCCTCGTTGAAATCTCTACATAGAAAGAGCCTCCTTTTCTAATGAAACACCCTTCCGCGCCTCAAGGCAACACGCCCTGCTATAGCTGGTATGGAAAATTCTACCATCCAGCAAAGAGATGAGTCCTGTTGGAGGTACCTGCTATAAAATGTGGCCATCCCCTTCAGATCTGCATCAGCACCTGGTCTGTGGCCCGAATTCTTGCAGCTCTTTTGAGAACTTCCTACCCACGGAAACTCAAAACCTTTCCCTTTCAGTCCTTGTTCTGGCAAGTTCCCAGACAACGAATTTAAACCAGTAACATACAAAATAAAATAATTGGAAGGTGTTTTCACAGGTTTCTAAAACATACGAATAAAATAATTGGAATATTTCTCTTCTTTTCCCCTCTTTTAAGACTTTTTGTTATTACATATCCTGATGTCAGTGTATACATCTGCAGCTGCTGTAAACAACAGCACTGAGTCATCCGAAAAGTGTCAGCAGGCCCTCCTGAAAGATCCTGAAATTACTCTAAGCTTTGCAGGGACATTTTTCTCAGGGGGTACACATGGAATATAAAGACAGAAACCAGCATGTAGACTTCCATATTTTATAGTTGTAAATAAGACAAGCTTTTTTTCTCCTGTTCCTCATACTTTATATCTGAGACACTAAGGACTAGCTCACATTTAGCAGTACTTCTCGACAGAGAGCGTTAGCAGTCACATTTCTAAAGGGACATATGAGCTAATTACAGCAGAATGCAGCTGCAGAGTCAAAGGTAAGCCAAAAAAAAAAAATCCCTGCAGAAATGCCCTTTGCTTGTTTTACTGAGAATTGATTATAGAATTAGCATGTGTTAACTATAGCGTATGAATCTCTCTTGCTCCACAACAGTATGGGCATTGCACACGCCAGTATGCACAGTGTTTCACAAAAACACTTTTAATTTTGACACTTTTTCCTTTAAGACAATAGTAATCAGAAAAAATCATAATGGGAAGTACGTAAATTAAAATGACTTCTATTGCTATGGCTAGAATTATAGCTTCTTATGTGATATTTTATAATAGAATTTCCTTTTCTGGCTATTTAGTGTTTTACATCTGGTGTTGATGATAGATGACAGACAGTTAGTTGTAATTAAAAAGCATAAAAGGACTGCAGGATTTGACCCATGAATACATATCTCTGCAGAATAACAGCTTTGCTAATAGAACTGATTTAAACTTTCCTCACAAAGCCCACAGAAATCTCTCTGCCAAAAAGGGGAAAATTCTTCAGCAATGTTATCTACGATGTTATTTCAGATAATGGCACATTTAAATATAAAATGAAGTTACATATTCCTTTCAATTAGTTTTAATCGAAGTTTGTTATGGATCGTTTTCAGAATTGGCTTAAAAAAATTACAAGAATATTTCTTTTTTTCTGTACTAATTTTGTGACTTTACACTTTTAACATCTCCAGGTTTTAGTACTCTTCCTTTTTATTTTAATTTCTTATTTTTTTCCAGCCTTGCAAAATTTAGAATGACAAATGACATAACAAAATACAACATTTTAACACTGTATTTTTTCAACCTAAGAGGAGAAATCAGTCTTCAAACCCCAAAATGAATAAAAAAGTTTAATTCAGTCCGAGGTTGAAATGTATACAGCATTTTAGTTTTATTCATAAAGCAGGAGAAAAATGAAAAACATAAAATCAGATTGTTGTACTGACAGGCTTTCTTTTTCAGGAACTGAAATTGGTTTTCCCACCAGTTCCCACTTTAAATATAGGTAGTAATTGGTTTTGATTCTGCAGTACTTGTAATTGATGAAGTACTGGAAGCCACAAGCAAATGTGAAATCACCTTGTGCTACACGTTGTATAACCAAGTGGGGAGACATTGTACTTCTTCCAAAGATTTAAACCATCTAAATATTAAAGATCAAGTTTGAGAGGTTGGTTAGGGCTGGAAACAGCATAACCAGAGAGCGGCAGAACCAGGAATAATGCTGGCTCCCTTCGTTCATCAATTCCCAACTACTCTCCATGACACCAGTCCGCCCTTCAGAGAAGAGCTGCCTTTGTATTCACCCTGTTTTTCCTTCCTTTATGACTTATCCAGAGAACTGGCCACTGTGGTCTGTAACTGGTGTAACAAAGGTGTTACACTGAACACTTTGGAAGTGTGTGTAGGAAGAGGGTAGGCACGTTAACTCAAGGCATCTTTACAAAACTAGCCGTCAACTTTTCACCTGCTTCTCTGCAGCCTGGATTAAATCCAAACCCTGACAACAATGTTCAGTTCAAAAAAGTATCTTAATTTCTTAGACCCCAGGGAGCCTCTCTGACCTCCCCAGACCAAATCATGTTGCACATGCTGGGCATGAGAACCACCCTGAAGGCCTGCCTGCACTGAGCTGAAGTGTGGGATTTCATCCCAGGCTGTGCCCACAGTGCTCACTGGACACTAGTGACACTAGATAAAGGTCACATTCATCATCATTTGGCCACATCTGGAATACTGTGTCCAGTTCTGGGCCCCTCAGTTCAAGAAGGACAAGGAACTGCTGGAGAGAGTCCAGCGCAGGGCCACAAAGCTGATGAAGGGAGTGGAGCATCTCCCTTCTGAGGAAAGGCTGAGGGAGCTGGGTCTCTTTAGCTTGGAGAAGAGGAGACTGAGGGGGGACCTCATTAATGTTTATAAATATGGAAAGGGTGACTGGCATGAGGATGGAGCCAGGCTCTTCTCAGTGGCACCCAATGATAGGACAAGGGGAAATGGATCTAAGCTGGAACACAGGAGGCTCCGCTTAAACATGAGGAAGAACTTCTTCCCAGTAAAGGGAACAGAACACTGGGACAGGCTGCCCAGAGAGGTTGTGGAGTCTCCTTCTCTGGAGATGTTCCAAACCCACCTGGACACGTTCTTGTGTGATCTGATCTAGGTGGTCCTGCTCCGGCAGGGGGATTGGACTAGATGATCCTTTGAGGTCCCTTCCAATCCCTGACATTCTGGGATTCTGTGATCACAGAATGTACTTCCCATGGCAGAGTCATTTCGGAGCACGTATTTTCTGGATATGGAGACTAAGTTGTGATGGGGGGGTTCTGGTTACGCACTGCAATGCAGTTACCGCAGCGTTTTAGGCACACAACAGAAAATATGTTTTTAATGTCTTGCAGATGTGTGAAGCTGGAAATCACTTTATCAACGTAGCTTTAGCTCACCAAAACCATTCAGGTCTGTCTTTGTTTCCTGTTTGTCTATTTAAGACTGAACTATGCTTATCCTATCCATCTTCTGCTGGTATACAGTAATTTACGTGTCTACATCCATAGAATAAAGAAAAATGAAGTAGGTACATTGCCATCAGTATAACATCTTCAAAATAAATGCAGTGACAAGGAAACATTAGCAACACTGTTGTTCTTCCAAAGCTTATAGCAAATTTATCTTAATTAGACACAACTGCAATTTAAATATGGATTTAAGCATGGAAGTTCTCTAAAGCATCCTGTTGACTGACAAGGGAGGTTTCCATTTTAAATAAGTTTCAAAAACTTTTAAACTTGGTTGCAGAGCTTTAAGATATGTGCAGCTCATGCAAAGATACACACACACACATCAACAAAGACACAAAGGCAGACTCGTGAATATCTGCACAGGGATCAATGTATATGTATGTTCTTGAAAGGCTGCTCCAAGCATGGGTTTTCACGATCTTTTGTACCATGAGAATAGAAGTTATACTATATATACTAGAAAGAAAAACGTATTTTCAGATAGTAATAGTGGAATTTCCTACTATAACAGCCTATTCAAGAAAATGCTTCACCACAGTATGATCAACTTCACACTCTGAAGTCAGTCTGTGTTCTGGGAAGCTTTTGATGTGCTGTGGTTAGGCAGGTGCTTATGTCCTTTGTTGCAAGGGGCGTAACTCACTTTAAAAGTGGCAAGAGCCAAATGATTCATCTATGTTCTCAGTGCTTACAAGTATTAAAGACAGCTTTGTTCCCAGAACTTAAAAACGAAGTGTTGCACACGTGGCATTTTGTGTGAGCGTTACCAGTGGCTGTAGAGAGTCATCCTCTTAGCTCTGGAGTTGTTCTCCTGTTCCATCCTGGCATGAAGGGTGAAAACGCAACAGGGGACAGGTTCACCCTCCTGAGTTGGGCTGAAGAAGATACAGCTGCATCCTTTATAAGCCAGGAGAGCGCCCTTAGCCCTCGCCTGCTGCCTGGTCCACATTGAACTCCTTGCCTCTCTCTTCTGCTGAACAAAGGTGGTGTACTGTGGACAAGCCAGACCTTCCTGTAAAAGGTGATACATGGCTCACTAAGCAGCATTCTCACTAGGGTAAATACAGCTTTTGCTGTCTCAAAACCTTTCACTGAAACTTTTCTAACAAGTTGTGCTCTGGGAACATTAGCCAAGGGGGTGGCTGTTGCATAGGCAAGTTGTGATAAGGCTCAGTTCCCCTCTCTGTATTGAAACCCGTTTTGTCTGTTTTTTTGTTGTTGATTTTTTTTTTCTTTTTTTCCTTCTTATTTCCTTTCTTAAAGGAAGTAAAGCCTGTTTTCCAAGTCCAACCTACAACCCCTTCACGTGGCTTTTCCTGCTGGTATCCTGTCCCAACTATACGTACGAGGTACATGAGTTTCTTCTGCTTATATGCAACGGGTAGGTGGTTACTGCGTTTCAGCCTTTGCCTGCAGAAAATCTTCAACACCTCCATGCAGTTACCTCTGCACAGCAATCATTGTGTTTTGCATGTCAGAGTCTCCTTGCTCCCACAAATGTTTCTCCACCAGATCCTTCTCTTCCATCAATATCATGACTCTTGTACATATTCCCCTCCACTACAGACTCCCCAGTGATCCAAGGATTTACCACCCATCTCTTCATCTCATCCAGCACACTGTGGGGAGTTCCTTTCTGGTTAATTTTCCTCCCATTTCCAGTACAAGTATCACACTCTTCTTCCAGAGACAGCTTTTGAAATCACAGAATCCCAGAATGTCAGGGATTGGAAGGGACCTCAAAAGATCATCCAGTCCAATCCCCCTGCCAGAGCAGGACCACCTAGATCAGATCACAGGACCACCTAGATCAGATGACAAAAAATCTTGCCCTTTTGCTTTACAGAAAGTATACAATTAACATATTCTTTTTCTCTGCAACAGGTTGGGTCTTGGATTAGTTTCACAGTGATGACACAAACCCTGCCAGGTAAGTTTGAAACAGAATGAAGACAGGCTCTAAATTATTGTTTGCAGAAGTGAATTCTGGAAATCTAAAATTTGCCAAAAAATTTACAGCACATGAAATATTGCCATCAAATCTCCTTTGTGACATGACTGCGGAAACCTTCAAAGCGCTGCCCTCGGAACGCTGCGGAGAGTGCAGACACTACAGCAGCATCTTCTTTTGATCAAAACTAGCTCTCAGCTTTTTGGGAAATATTCTTGTTTCTTCTGTTTCCACAGGGAAAACAGACTTTGAAATTTAGAAAAAAAAAAAAAAAGTCAGCATTCTTCACTTACAGTCAATCATTTTTGATATAGGAAAATTCCTTTGCATTGTAAACCTGGAATAATGTTTCTAATAGAGGGAGGAAAACAGATGTATTTAGTATTTCAAAAGAAGAAAGACATCCACGTTCCTGGTAGCATTTCCCTGTTTGCTTGTATCAGGCAGCCAGCTCGTAACAGCAGCCTGCTTAGTAGCATTTGCAGCACTTGTTCAGTACTTTCCTGTGTCCTTAGAGACCTAAATACCCCTACAAATACGGTCCCTGGCACCGAGCTCTCCAAAACATTCACTTTTAAATTATTTTTCCATTCCGAAATAGAAACCTATAAAAGCTACTTGCAAAAAGTAGCCCCACATGGTTTACAAATGAAAAAAAGAAAGGACTTTCAAAAGTGGATTGAACTGCCTCATGCACAAATTCAACTTTTAATTTTGTTTGAAAAGATGGAACATTTTTGTGCTTTAGGCTCTGGTATGGAAATGACCTGAAAGTTTGGGGACATTGTGAGGCTGTGCTTACAAGGGCAGGGAGCAGCAACATGTGCAGCACACTCATCCTTGCTGTAATTGTCCCAAACATAACTTGACCAGATGCCGAATGAGTGTTTCAGATCCACCAGCTCATTTTAAGGAAGAAAGGATAACAAGTTTGCAAAAAGCATCTGTAAAAGCATTCCCCATTGGGTGTCACTGAACCCGAAGGGAGATGTACCTGAGAAACCAGTTACTGGATCCTGCCAATCACAGCAGGGACCTGAGCATCTGTGGTCGTTAGGTGTTGTCAGATCTCACTGCCAGGCAGCTACATCTATTCATGCACCTACTGCCTACTTGGTCCAGGGCCGAGCTCTCCCTCGAAGCAACAGGAACAGCTCCCTGTTATGGTTGGGAGCCAGAGGTAAAAACAAAAAAAGTGGTTTAGGCCAAAAGCAAAGCAGAGAAATAGCTGAGAGAGGCCACAGGTAATTCTGTGTTGAGATGGCACTATGCCCCAGGAAGCCCTGTGATTTATGGTGAAGTCACAGGTGATCTAGGACGTGACTAATAGGTGTGACCAGCATCTGCGTGAGTTCTGATGTGGAGGCTGAGCCTCAGGCTATAACATAGCAGCAACTGCAAGGCCGAGAGCAAGAGCAGAGTTAACTTGTCTCAGCCCACAGAAGAGACTGCAGACTTTTCCATAAACCCTCTCGTATTCACAGAAACAGATAATGAAACAAGACACATGATCTTTTTTTTTTTTTTTCTCTTTTTCCTTGGTAGTTGGCATTTTTGCTTTCCTGATGGTCATCCAGATGTCCCTCTGGGCTCAAAAGAAACACAAGCTGTACCTGAAGAGATTTTATCCAGAGGTGCGGAGAAAAGCAGCTATGATTCCCATCATCTTCTAAGCTCCTCACAACAGCTGGAGCCTAAGTGTACAGTTCAAGAGCTAACTCCCAGTAAACGAGCCATTTCATTCAGTAACCAGAGTGGATCAGAGGAAGAACTACTGGATATCTTTTTCAGAAAATTAACAGTTCAAGATGAAGAGCTTTTAATTAAGTGAAAAAAAAAAAGTAGCTCTTGAATTCTTGGTTCCTCCTAAAAGATATGATTTAATTAGATTTTCTGTAATGGAGCTAATTGGGAAGGGACAAGAAAATTGCTTATATTGAATGTTAGGCTAGATATTTAGCTGGTGTAAATGGGCACAGATGCTGTTAAAATTAACGAATACAGCTCATCTGCATGCATTCAGGTCTGGTGATTTTAAGGTTCAGAGTTAGATGTTGACAAGAGTCTTTGATTTTTCTGTCAGAAGATGTTTCACAGGCTTATTTTTGTTAAACTGCACAGAAACAGCACGTTCTGCCTCAGCTACTCTAAAGCATCACACCAAAGAATGACTGCTATGCTGTTAACACAGTTTCGCGTCGCTTTACAAGGTCTTTGTGTATTTGTTTATTTATTTTTAATTGAATCTTACAGCAAACTGTTCCAATATCAATTGGCTTAAACTGATCACTGCAGAGAGGTCTGGCTTTCTTTTATTTTCAGGTAGGCACATCAGCCCCACAATCCCAGGAGGGGGCTGTTTGTGAGGTGCTTCCCATCTTGCTACTAATTTGCAGTACGACCTTGGGTACATCATTTAAGTCCATCCCCATTTCTCACATCGATCAGGTCTGGAACGAGCAGAAGACTTTCTGGACTAACGAGCGTGTTAAGATCGCCTCGTTCGGTGCCTGGCTGCATCCAGACACCATTCCCCTCACTTTGACCAAGCCCTGTGAAATCCTTGGGCACGAGGTGAGCCAGAGTACAGCTCGTTATCAAAAACGAAAAGGATGCTGCCGAATGCATTTCAGTCCATATCTGAACTGCTTCAGATGGACACTGCTGAAAGGCTTCAGCTCCCCTTCGATTCGGTCAGTCTCCAATCTGCTACTTTGCTTTCCAGGACATCATTTTTTAAAGGATGCTCTGGGCTCCTTATTAAAGTCCTGACAACTCTATTTAGCTCCATTTGCAAATCAGTGGCACCCACGTCATGCAGAAGTGGAATTTTAGTTACGGAGAGCAAAAGAACCAGAACTGCTTCAGCAAGCGTTAAGATGTGGAGAGTTGGGGCATGAAGTCCAGTTTTGGTTCTATTTCTGACGCGCATTTATCAATGTCTTTTTGCTGCCTTAGGCGGGTGAAAAAGCTTGCCTACAGAACTTTAATCATCAGAGAAACACCTAAGCACACAAGCAAGGCAGGCAGTTTGTCTCCTAAAGGTGCTGTTATCTTTGCGCCAGCTCAACTGTTCCAACAAAGTTAATTTGCCCAGTAAATTGGGTTCGTATCCCTCTCCTAATGTCTAACTCACTGTAACTCAATTTCGTCTTGGTAATGTAAATAAATCACTTTCCCTATTTTTTAACGTGTAACCTGTGAACTCCTAGAATTTTTTATTCCTCTCAATGGAAAACCCGAGTCACAGTGAACATCTAGTTCTCTGACCCAGACTGCTAATAAAGATCTATTTTTGAAAAATTATTTTCTGTACTCTTTAGTCACTTAAACCTAAAAACAAGAGTTTTGAAACCCATTTTTTTCCAGCCAGTGTTAAATGTGTGAGTTCAGTCAGCCTGGAGAAGAGGAGGCTCCGGGGTGACCTTATAGCGGTCTTCCAGTACCTCAAGGGGGCCTACAAGAAAGATGGGGAGAGGCTGTTCAGGAGGGCCTGTTGTGATAGGACAAGGGGTAATGGTTTTAAAATAGAGGGAGGTAGATTCAGATTGGATATTAGGAAAAAATTTTTTACCATGAGAGTTGTAGAACACTGGAACAGGTTGCCCAGAGAGGTGGTGGATGCTCCATCCCTGGAGACGTTCAAGGCCAGGTTGGACGAGGCCCTGAGCAACCTGATCTAGTTGGAGATATCCCTGTTCCTTGCAGGGGGGTTGGACTAGATGACCTTTGAAGGTCCCTTCCAGCCCTAACCATTCTATTCTAAGACTGTTATCTATTTTTCAAATCCAGCTACTGGGATTCTTTTCATTTCGTGTTTATTAAAAGCCTCATTTTAGCAACCCCCAAGTTTAAAAGAGTTTAGGTGGGAGGGCAACTTGCCAAAGTTACTTACTTATCTGCTAATCTTTTTATTACAATGGCTGCAGCTCTACGTCTGTTCAAGGCATGTTTCCAGAGAGATTCCAATTGCTAGGAGCACGGTTCCTATTGAACAGTTGGCTTAGGCAAAGGAGGTACTCCAGGAATTGTTGACTTCCCTGCCTATTAGTTGGTCATTCAGTACATGAGGTGGAGGAGAGAAGGGTTTTGGCTCCTGTAGTCAACGATGCAAGTTTTAAAACGGAGGAAAGAGCAAACGCTGGGTAAGAACAAACGAAGATCCGTCACAGAAGACTGTCTCAGATAAACATGGCAGATATTTTGAGATTCACCAACAGGGTGTTGATCAGCTAAAATTGTTATTAATGGCTTCACAAATAGCAATAAATCCAACTTTTTGCACCATCCCAGATCTTTCTGTATTACTTTGCCCTCTCTGATTTTCAGGGAAAAAAGTTCCATGGGATTAGAACAGGTAACTTCACTTCCCGGCACAGGTGGCATGTTTTACTTTAAAACAAAAAGTATATAAAAATGATCAGTCCTTGTTTTGATAAATGTTTTGGAGGCCTTCCTTTTGAAAAAAAAAAAACAACCCACAACAGAAAAAAGTCAAGCAAGCAAAAAAAACAAGGCAAAAAGTAAGTATCACTATGTAGGAAGTTGTGATTAACGGTGATTTTAGCCACAAGTGCCTTGCACCATTTGAACCAAAACACGTGTCTCCACACAAACATTTTCATGACAAAGTTAGTGATGACTGTGCTGGTTACCTGGGGGAAAAAAATGACTTATTGAGCTCTAAATGTACCGATATTTCTTGTATTAGGGGCAAATGGGGAAGGAAGTGGTTAACATCTTTGACGGCGACACGGACAGTGGGATCAACTGCACCCTCCGCAAGACTGCAGATGACACCAAGCTGTGTGGTGTTGTGGACACGCTGGAGGGAAGGGATGCCATCCAGAAGGACCTTGACAGGCTGGAGAGGTGGGCCTGTGAGAACCTCATGAAGTTCAACAAGGCCAAGTGCAAGGTCCTGCACGTGGGTCGGGGCAATCCCAAGCACAAATACAGGCTGGGCAGAGAATGGATTGAGAGCAGCCCCGAGGAAAAGGACTTGGGAGTGCTGGTGGATGAGAAGCTCAACATGAGCCGGCACTGTGTGCTGGCAGCCCAGAAAGCCAGCTGTGCCCTGGGCTGCATCCAGAGCAGCGTGGGCAGCAGGGCGAGGGAGGGGATTCTGCCCCTCTGCTCTGCTCTCCTGAGACCCCACCTGGAATACTGTGTTCAGCTCTGGAGTCCCCAACAGAAGAAGGACATGGAGCTGCTGGAGCGGGTCCAGAGGAGGCCATGAAGATGATTGGAAGGCTGAGGCACCTCTGCTATGGAGACAGGCTGAGAGAGTTGGGGCTGTTCAGCCTGGAGAAGAGAAGGCTCCAGGGTGATCTTACTGCAGCCTTCCAGTACTTAAAGGAGGCCTACAGGAAAGCTGGAGAGGGGCTTCTTACAAGGACGTGTAGTGATAGGACAAGGGGCAATGGCTTTAAACTGAAAGAGGGCAGATTTAGATTAGATCTAAGGAAGAAATTTTTCACTGCGAGGGTGGTGAGGCAGTGGAACAGGTTGCTCAGAGAAGCTGTAGATGTCTCATCCCTGGAAGTGTTCAAGGCCAGGTTGGATGAGGCTTTGGACAACCTGGTGTAGTGGAGGGTGTCCCTGCCCATGGCAGGGGGATTGGAACTAGACGATCTTTGAGGTCTCTTTCAACCCAAACCATCCTATGATTCTATGATTCTAAGATTCTAAAACAAATCAGATGAAGTACTAATGGGTTCTTACTGACCTGCCCAACAAGGACTGTGGGATCCTCACTGCTCAGCCTGTAGTTTCAAAGCACATCTCAAAATGATTGCTTCCTGGTCCATCTGGAGACACTGCTCAGCATCCCAGTCCCTCTGCTCACCCTTCAGCTTGCCACTGGGTTTCTGTTGTGATCATCCAAATGGGTGAGTGTCATCTTTCCCAAAGTACTTCCAAGACTTTCAAATTCAGGAGCCTAAAGTTGACCCTTCAGATGTGCAGCTCTGCATTTTTATGGGCTGCCCTTGCCATGAAATGCCAACCTGGAAAAGAGCAGGCACCAGCTCAGGCTTCCTGGTGGCGCAGGGAGGCGTTGTGATGGGGAACCAAAGTGGCAGATGCTCCTGTACACAACTTGGCAGCCTATATTTGGATCCCCAGTTTGAAAAAGTCCTTAAGACCCAGCCATATGTTTGTCTTATAAGGCGGTTACTACATCTTTGCTGCTGACAGGACTGAAAATGATCTCAGTGGTTTCATCTTTCCATAGGGAAAATACAGCTTGAAAGGACACTGAAAGCAGAAGTGAATAAAGGCAGATGGTCAACCTTTTTTAAAGATGCTATTATCATCAAAATATCTTGTACTTTCCATTGTTTTGTGTAAAGAAAGTGACTCTAAATTGGCTTTTATCACACTGGGAACTGAGATAAAGCAGCCTGATATCAAAGTAGTTCTCTGAAAGAGAGCCTGCAGTGATAGCTAAATATAATACAATAAAAATTACTGAATGTGAAGACTTCTAAAGCACACTATAAGAGGAAGAAGGCTGTAGGAAAGCAAGAGACTATTTATATATTTATAATTTTAACAAGTGCTGTTGAACTAAAAATTAATTCAAACCATAAAGAGTTTTCCAGCAAGCTAATATTTTCCACACGATGCTTTATTTGCTTCCCTTTCCTGTATTTTCCTAGGCACAAGTTTTGTCTTCAAGCAACATTCCCTGTCATCAACACTCACAAAAGCTTTTAGAGAAACGCCCTGCATGCCTGTTTCAGCGTTCCACAGATAAACATTAATGAAGTGTTGTGCTGCCATTGCACACAGATTAGTATCTACACAAATAATATTTCATTACGAGAAGCCTAGTTTATCCTAGGTGAGTGTATAAAGGCTGCTGGATAGCTACGACGAAAGGCAATTTTCACATCACACATGTTTAGCATCACAGAAGAATGTTTATTTTTGTGGTCTCTGCACATCTCCCTTCTGAGGAACGGCTGAGGGAGCTGGGTCTCTTTAGCTTGGAGAAGAGGAGACTGAGGGGGGACCTCATTCATGTTTATAAATATGGAAAGGGTGACTGGCATGAGGATGGAGCCAGGCTCTTCGCAGTGGCACCCAATGATAGGACAAGGGGAAATGGGTCTAAGCTGGAACATAGGAGATTCCGCTTAAACACGAGGAAGAACTTCTTCCCAGTAAGGGGAACAGAACACTGGAACAGGCTGCCCAGAGAGGCTGTGGAGTCTCCTTCTCTGGAGATGTTCCAAACCCGCCTGGATGCGTTCTTGTGTGATCTGATCTAGGTGGTCCTGCTCCGGCAGGGGGATTGGACTAGATGCTCCTTTGAGGTCCCTTCCAATCCCTGACATTCTGGGATTCTGTGATCTCCAGCTCTATGTGACTCAAACGTACAACTCTCTCTGCAGGTATCAGAACCAAGAGCTGAGCTGTCGCGGGCCTTTATCATGGTCCCAGTGTTTGGGTATTTATTTGTTTGGCACCCCAGAGACTGGCCCTCACCC